GGGCGCTTTGGGACCCTCCCGCTCCCGGCCGCCAAGGGGAGAAGCACTGATGTGTCTTTTTTTTCTTTATTCTGACACAGAGCGATGTCAGAATAGAAAAAAAAATAAAAATTCCCATTAAAATACATTGCTAGATTCCTATTGGCTATTTCAATTTGCAATAGCCAATAGTAAAGTAGCATTGTACCCGCCCTCTGCCTATGGACCTGATGGAGAACTGCAGCAGAGAGCGGGTACAATGCTAGTTTACTATTGGCTATTGCAAATTGAAATAGCCAATAGCAATGTAGAAATGTATTTCAATGGGAATTTTTTGTTTCTCTATTCTGACATCGCTCCGTGTCAGAATAAAGAAAAGAGAGACACAGCAGTGTTTCTCTCCTTGGCGGCCGGGAGCAGGAGACTCCCGGGGCGCCAGGGAGAATTAGCTGTTTGGAGATCAGTGTCCCTGGTTAGCAGGTAACCAGGGACGCTGATCTCTCTGCAAGTGGCCCGAGTCAGCCGTAAGATCACGGCTGGCTCTGCCCAGCTGTCAGAAGCAGGCTGTCGGCCATTGGCCGGCCGCTCGGCCAGCTTTGGCTTTTAGCACGGCTCAGCCGAGCCGATGCATATGCATTTGGCTCGACTGAGCCGATCGGCCATGATCGGGAGCTGTACGGGCTATTGTGAATAGCCTGTACAGCACCCCTTCGGTTCTACTGAACCGAAGGGGTCCTGGGGCCGAAGCTAGCCGAAGGATCGGCCGAAGCTACAGCTAGATCCTTCGGCAGCTTCGTGAATAGACCCCTAGGTTCTTATCACTCAGAAATTTAAATAACAAGATTTTTTCAAAATAGACCCTAAGGCATATTCTTATGCTACACCATGTGAAATACTTTAGAGGATTATGATAGCATTATTTGGCTTTGTAATGCCATGGTAGCTGGAATGAACAGGGAATTCTGTTAAAAATATTTGACTTTTGGAGACAGCAAATAATATAAGTAGTCATATTTTTCTTTTTCTTACGATTATTGGTTTTCCACTTTTTTGTCCTTTTAGTGATGTAGCCATGGCCTTGTAGATGCATGGGAAGGTTACATCGTAGTGCATTGCTGGGAAATCTCAACTGTAAACTGCAAAATCTCACGAGATCTCAGGAAAAGGCATTTTTTCTTTGAGATGATGTGTATGGTCACATGTACTAGTCACATGTGCCAGAGTTCCAAGAAGTAAAGGGAGATTGAGTCATCTGCCCGTAGTAAAAATCACCACTGTGAGAAGAATGGGGAGGAAAATATAAATAAGGTATACACAAAACAAACTTGCAATTACCTAGAAGTATCTGTTTGTAGATTGTCATTACTAAACATTTCTAAAGGTGTCTTTGTTGTCATTTTAAAGATAAGGTTAAAGTTCTTCTTTAAGAATTAAATGCATACAATTAAAGCTACAACAGGAACTTTATTAGAAATTAGATGTGTTTGAATACTGAATAAAGTGAACCTGTCTTTTTGCTGAAATAGGGCATTTGTAAGCATGTTAGCAAATCGCATAATTATATTGAGTAAAAGTACCTCTTTGTTACTAGCAATAAAAAAAACTGCTCTTCTTCAGCTTTATGTCTAGGCAACCTAGATCACATGGTCTCCAGTTTCTTAAAAACATTTTTTAAACATTAGATTCTCCCTTAAAAAAGTGGTTTTGTAATTTATTATTTAATATACTGTATATAGAGAGAAATCATTTTTTTTAAAACAAACCAATGGCCATTTTTGGTTTTGCCACTAGATGGTGAACTAACCTAATACAAAATTATTTCCTCATCATCGGCACTGAATAGCAGCACCAACTGGTTTGTGTAAATTGCACTCTACTGAAGATCAGGAGCCCCTGATGTGGGCTGCACTAATACATAGTGTATGTAAACCATAAATATTAACTTCTCTAATCCAGGCATACTGGTCTGTTAAATATACCAGTGAAAGCATTTTGTTGTGTATATATACATGCAAAAACAAATCTGTTAATCCTGCCCAATCACCAGTGAGCTTGTTCATTTTCTGTACACTTTGCCTCTGCTGCCATGTTATAAGTGTGCAGTTTTATAAAACCTGGCCAGTTCTCTTTGTGTACACTTACCCATTACTTTATGGAGATGAGAAGAGCAAGATGTGTTCTGTAGTCCTGGAGCACTTCCTGTTATAGAGTGATAATGCTGCTCCTCCATAGATGCAGTAGATTGAGTAAGCGTTGACCCCCTAGGACAGGAAATGTATCACTGGCGGGATCACCAAGTGAAAAAAGGAATAAAAGCCAAGGCAAATGTATTGACATCAGTTCAGTTAATATAATAATTAGTGACATACCATTGTGACAGTGAGGAAAGGTTAAATGAAGCATTGGAGCTTGGAGTACCCAGGGATGAGTAGTAGGGGTGCAGCCCGGTGGGTTAGGACATTGCATGGCTGTGTGAGGCACAGCAGGATAGCACAGTGTGTAAAGCGATGGAGGCCCAGTGCACCAGAAAGGAAAGGACTAGAGAATCCCAGTTTTATGGGCTATGGGAGCAACAGTGCTTTAATTTCGTTGTCTTTGTGACTACAGTCTGAATCCGGATAAGGATTCAGTCTGAATCTGAATAAAAAAACTTGGTGGCTGCCATTGCTGATCTCTAAAATGTTAGTAGTCTTGTTGACATTGTGTTACTGACCTGGAGCATGCATGCAGATCGGGAGTTCTGCCTGATTCCTGCTGAACTATATTATGAATAATATTATGAATAAGTTATTTCAAGGGATTCCTGGCTAAAGGTTTGGCCTGAGAAAAGCTGCTATCTTCTTTTGCACAACAGCCTTTATTTGATTAGTTGTTATCTTTATGACAGGATAAGCTGAAACTTCAGAATAGAACATCAATAGGACAGTTCATGGCACACCCTCATTAATGGCCTGTCACACCTATTGTACCCTGATTCCAATCACTATCTTCCATAATGGGCGCTATATAAATACCTGTAATAAATCAAATAAATAAACAAATAAATAAATAATCCTTGCATCATTTGCCCTATTCAAACTACTCCTTATCTTCTGCTGCACTGATGTACTGAGAACAGTGTAGAGCAGGGGTAGCCAAACTCCGGCCCTCCAGATGTGGTGAAACTACAAATCCCATGATGCATCTGTCTCCAGGAGTCATGCCTGTGGCTGTGAGAATCTTGCAATGCCTCATGGGATGTGTAGTTCCACCACAGCTGGAGGGCCGGAGTTTGGCTACCCCTGGTGTAGAGGCTGCCGTTGCTGATCCACTCCTAAATATGCTATTTGTTTGGATGTATCTGACTTCAGTACTTTCTGAATTATTGACATGGAACCATGTCACGCATACAGACAGTGAATTCAAAACTCCTGACCTCCACACTAGTTATCTGGCAGTGGCTGCCGCTAAACTTCCATGCCCGTGCTGGCTTCTGCGCTTCAGGTCTCAAAGATCTCAGTGCTGTGGTTGCATCTCCATCCCCTTCTCCCGCTAGCCAATCACAAAGCAAATGGCCCAAGGGTCTGTTATTTGATTGCCCAGGCCTTTTTTCCCATATTTTTAGTATACCTTCAGGTGGAAGTCCAGCTCCCACTGAACTTCAGTGCCGTACTAGCTGCAGCGATTCGGTGTGCCCCCTTCTCCTCCTGGCCAATCACAAAGCAAATGTCCCCAGGCTCTGTTTTGTGATTGGCTAGGAGCAGAGATAGAGATACAACCACAGTGCTGATGTCTATAAGACCTGCAGCGCTTCAGTCGGAGCGGCACAGGTGTTCAGATGTTCAGCGGGAGCTGGATTTTCACCTGCAGGTATACTGAAGTTTTGGGGGAGAAGAGAGGAAGATCCAATTATGATAGGTCAGTTTATTACAAAGGAGCTCTACAACCCGCTGAACTGCAGTAAATGTATTGTGCCCGGAGTTGGGCTTTAACTGTAGTAGTAAAAAAGGTATTTATCCTAGCAATGCTGCAGTGAGAATAGAGCTATGTATAAACATCTAGAGTTCTCTTAATCACTTGATTGCCCCCATCCCCGCAGCATTGATGGGGGAATCTTCGCTGCTGGCTATTACACTTGCGGTTGTCTAAATACCCACACAGTGACTGCATCTAAGTGGATGCAGTCATTGCTCTACCAACAATTTTCCAGCTGATTCCATCAATATTGTCACTAAAGTTTGTTGAGCCAATTGGTGCAGACACATGACCTGAAATATATATGTGTATAGCTAGCATTAGACTGGCTGATGGTAGAATATGAGATTTAATATATATATATATACACAAGCAGAATTCCAGGGAAACTTTTTCTTAACCCTTGCAGTGGGGCTACCCTCGCATTGCAAGGGTTAAGTGCTTGTTTTTGTCTAGGTTCAAAAATAACATACGTTCGAGATCCACCCCGCTGGCTGATTGACAGTTGGCTCTGCCTCTCTATAAGCAGAGCCAGCTGTGCCTGCCCCCTCCCCTCCCTGATCCATTCCCCCAGTCAGCGCTAGAGAAACGGAGAGCTGAGGGGGGAATCTCTCCGGGGAGCGGTGACTGACAGTCACTGCTCTCTGCAGGGAGAAGATCAGGAAGTCAGTGACCGGCGGTATGTGATCACTGACTTCCCGATCAATAGAGCCGACCTGTGACAGCTTTAGTGTCACATGTCGGCTTGAATTATAGGGATGAGTGTTTTTCACCCACCCCATAATTCTCCTTTAAGAATAAATGTCCCTGGAGTTCTGCTGTAATGAATGTGATATATTGTGCTTTAACTCCTTTGATGTCATTATTTGTCTTCCAGGGCATTTGCCAGCTGTGTGATTCCTCATGTAGGCACTGTTCTGGCCCAGGGCCAAATCACTGTATAACATGCAAAACCAATACTGCATGGTCACCTGAAGAAATGAAATGCATCAACTGTTGTGATTCACAGAATGATCAGAAAGATTGCTGCTTCTGTGATCTGAACTCTGGTATGTATGACAGAACTTTTTCTATTTCATGCTATTATTCCTTGTCTATAAACAGAGCAAATTGTGACCCAGTTAACTCTAAATATAAGATATCCTATATTTCAACAGTATCATGGAGGATGCAGAGCATAAAACTAAGGCTCCCCATACATGTACACCGTGTTACAATCTGTCCATACAATCTCTGTACAATCAACTTTAGAGTAACCAAACCAATGTAATATGAGGACCTACTTCACCGATCCAATCAATTGTATTCAATTAAGCAGCTCCTTACACTACACGCCATTGGTAGATGTAAAGAAAATTGTAAATCAGATTGTAATGTGTACCCTAATACTGATAGACCCTGGGTTAAGAAGAACAGTAAACATGTCTTTTTTTTGTAAGATTAGAGTTTTAACACATTACATACAAAACAAGCAGTAAAGATCAACATACAATGCAGTTCTCCCCCTACCAAATACAAGTCCCCAGCTGTGTGAAGTTGGCACCCCATGTTTGTAAAACCTGAATAAAAATATACCATTCGTTTGTGCCGCGTTTGTGCCGCAAAAACAAGCGTTTGTGCCGGTTCGGTTTCTGAGATATTAAACATTCAATTTAATGCAAGCCCCACCCACTTTGCACCCCATGTTGCTGAATTTTAAAAACAAAGACGCCATTCGTTTGTGCCGCGTTTGTGCTGGTTTGTGCCGCAAAAATAAACGTTTGTGCCGCTTTGGTTTCAGAGATATGGTGCGTTATAGTTGCTGTAACCCCGCCCACTTTGCACGCTCGTTTTTGCGGCACAAACCAGCACAAACGCGGCACAAACGAATTGTATATTTTTATTCAGGTTTTACAAACATGGGGTGCCAACTTCACACAGCTCAAGTCCCCATATGATACTGTACAAGAATAGAGCTAATTTCCAGCCCATGGGAATTCACATAGGAAGCAAAAACTAACTCAACATGGGGATCCAATGATAGAGATGCAAAACTCGCACCCCATGAGCAGCGAGAGCAAGAGAGATGCAAAGTCAAGAGAGAGAAGAGGAAAGCAACAGAAGAAGAGAATAGAAGGACAAACAAACAAACATCGGGAGGGCAAAACACCAGAATAAGACCTGATACATGCCACTAAGCATAAATACTTCATAAAATGGAGGTGTAAATAGAGAAGGTGTGTGGTGGGCATTAATAAAAATCATAAGAAAGTTAGTGTATTTAAATGTTTAAATGTTTCAGCTCCACGCAGCTTTCCGGGTTTGGGCTTCTATTTTTGTAATGTGTGCTATGCATACAGTTTTATTTTATATGTTTGTATTGGTTAGGCTTTTTGTAGGATAAAGGTTACAGCAGCTACAATATGTATGCAGGAGTTGAGTATACAGTTCCTACAGCAGAAGAAACTTTGTTTTCACATTTTATTTTTATTGCATATAAAATACGAAATATAACACAGGGCTGACAGATGTTATTGTTTTGTAACAATAGGATCTTGCACAATTTACAGTAATTCTTGAGGTTAATTTACTAAAGAAATGCAGAATTTTAATTTTGCAAAGTGAATGTTCACTTAGTTTAGTGAATAAGGTGAAGCAGTGTTCAATTATCCAATCAGGTGTAGGCAAAATTCCTTTTTTTTTTACTTATTAACTAAGCTAAGTTAATATTTGCTTCTAGTAAAATACCCCTTTTCTCCATAGAATAGGTAGAAGTAGTAGAATCCAATGTTGTTTATTCAAGCTCGACAATACAGAGGATGTGATTCCTTGTCATTCTAAGAGGTGGAAAGACATACCTATCTGAAGCCTTGTACAGCATGAACTGAAACCTCTTAACAAAGTGACAGAGAGGAGAGGTGACAAAAGAAACAGGGAAGTAGATGCTTGGAATATCTAACTAGAAGACTGTACTAAGATACTTAAAAAGGAGGGGGTGAAATGGAAGATACCAAATGTGTACAGACATGAAGCTATAGTAATGCTAATTTACCACTAGATGTCGGGAGCATACATGACATAATGATAACGGATGAAATACAAAACAGTGTAATAAAATCACAGAAAACTATACTGGCTGTGGCAGCACACCCTAGGGGCCTGTGTTGATGGGCTTTTGTTCATGTCAGCCAGATTTGACATTCCCATACATGTATATGGGAATGCAAATCCCTCTTGAAGCAAGCCAAATGCAGGTGAGAAGGAGGTCAACTGTAGATTGAATTAATTCTAAATGACTTCAAAAGCATCTCAGACTGATGGTTAACTGATGGCTTTGACACAGAGCCAAAGCCCATTGACACAGGTCTTAAAACAGAAAACATTTGCATCATACACAGAATAAAAGCTGCAACAAAGCTCCCAATTTGGAATATTGCTACAAATTATTGGATCATTTCTGACCACCTAAGTGGTGATAACAACTTGTTAGGAATTCAAAACCTAGTAACAGGGAAGACATTTTATACAGAGGGTGTCACTCTGATTCTGTCCCAATTCAAGACAAAGTGACAGAGTCCATCCTGCATCCAACTGCTACTGAACTATGTGACTTTCTCCCATGGTGCAGACCTGAACACTGTCATGTGGGATTACAACATCATCAACCCAGTGTAAATTCTGACACCATCTGACACACAGCTTACACAAAGTTGACTCTTGGAGCAACAAAGTGGCAGGGGAGTAAAATGCAGGTATGTATAGTTGGATTGCAGGTGGTCTTAAAAGAAACGTTGTCACTTTGCCCTTAAAGTGACACTAAACTCAGGAGTTAAATCCTAAAAAAATACATTTAAGTACCCTAACCATTAACAAAAATGTAATTTATTTTGTATCACTCAGCTCCCTGAATTTGTGCTGACACTGTCCTTGATTCTGGAGGGTGGCTACCTTTGTTCCTCATGGTCCCTGTGTGTGTTGTAAAGTAGCCACTGCTCCAAGCTCACTCTCATGATGGACTACAATATTACATTTAGTTTACTAATTTGTATTGAGATTGTAGTCCACCACGGGAGTGAGCTTGGAGTGGGGGGCTACTTTACAATGCAAACAGGGACCATGGGGAACAAAAGTAGTCACTCTCCAGAAGGAAGGACAGTGTCAGCACCAATTCAGAGATGATTTGAGGATCTACAGCTGAGTGATACACAACTAAGATACATTTTTGTAAATAGGGCTCTAGAATGCATTTTTAAGGTTTAACTCCTGAGTTTAGTGTCACTTTAATAGGACAGGAAGACTGAAATGCTTAAGGGCAACATTACCCTCTAATACTGAGCCTAAAACTGAACTCTATACAGATATAAAAGACACAAATTAATGCCGACCCAAAGTGAAGTGAGCCGAACGCTCAGACTTGTACGGCTGAATTCAGCCGTATATTGGCTGAAATCAGCTGTACATCGGGTGGCTTCGGGTCGGCCGAACATGCTCAGCATGTTCAGCCGACCTGCCGCTGGTTAATTAGTAACCAGCGGACGCTGTTCTGTCATTAAGATGAGAGCTTAGCAGAGTCGGCTTCCATATCACTGCCGGCTCTCCTAAGCTCTTGTCGTAATGACGGATGGGCGTCCCTGGCTACCTGGTAACCAGGGACGCCCATCTGACATTACACATTGAGAACCCGGCGGGGCCGCTGTGATATCACAACGGCTCCGCCGTGTTCTCATTCTAATGACAGATGGGCGCCCCTGGTTACCTGGTAACCAAGGACGCCCATCTGTCATTACACACTGAGAACCCATCGGAGTCGCAGTGATTTTACAGTGGCTCCGCCGGGTTCTGAGTGTAATGACAGATGGGCGCCCCTGGTTACCTGGTAACCAGAGATGCCGTTTTCACATTACACTGCGACTCCGCCGGGTTCTGAGTGTAATGACAGATGGGCGTCCTTGGTTACCAGGTAACCAGGGACGCTGATCTGAATCTGCAAGTGGCCAGAGCCAGCCGTGAGATGACGGCTAGCTCCGCCCAGTTGTCAGTAGCAGGCTGTCGGCCAGCTTCGAATTTCCCCGGGGCTCAGTCGATATGCCTTTGTCTCGACTGAGCCCCTCGGCCAACTTCGGGAGTTGTACGGGCAACAGTGACTAGCCCATACAGCAGCCCTTCGGTTATACTGAACCGAAGGGGTCCTGTGGCCGAAGCTAGCCGAAGGATAAGCCGAAGCTACGGCTAGATCCTTCGGCAGCTTTGTGAATAACCCCCTAAATGTATTTTTAAGTGTAAGCTTTGCATGTTCCTGAGTTTGAGCTGGTATGAGCCCCTTGAAGTTACTGAATAGCAGAGCTGGAGTGTGAGAAGGAGAAGCCGCACAAGGAGCCAACCAATTCATATGCTGAGAAGAAACATGCTGATATGACAGAGAAATTAGCTTTTCACTTCTCCTTTAACAATCCAGTCTCAGGCTGGGGTGGGCCCAGGGCAAGCTAGGCTCAGAAGAAGTGAGTTGAATGGTGGCTAACACACCAAGGACATCTAATGGCAGAACACACAGGACAGGGGGGGGAGGGGGGGATCTCTGAACTGAAACTGAATATTGCATCAAAAGCTGGTTTTATGTTTTCTTAAATTGTTATTCATTTTCATTTGGTTGTGTTTTTGCTGGAGTTCAGCTTGAGGAGTCAGTCCACCTAAAACTGTTTGGGTAATGAACCACCTAAGGGTTTCATATATCTCTGAGAGTTTGTAGTGGTGAGATCTTCCTGGGACCTCCTGGGTCTACACATCTTCTACAGCTATTTTGGGAGGGTCTCACCCTGTTTATTTTACTGAATAGAGAATGCAGTGGAAGAGTAACAATTTAGGGTGATTGGTATCCCCAAAAACTACAGGGTAAGTGAGAACAGAGCCAGGAATTATAGCAGGGATATCTCACTGGAATCTCCCAAGAGCGAAAAAAGAAATGTCAAGCGGTACCTCAGCCCACCAAATTCCACTTGCATTTGATTGGCCTTTTATGTATGCTCTGTTCTTACACCTGCATTCAATTGTGCTGCAGATGCTTGCATTTTTG